GGAAAGACAAATACATACAACATCAATAAAAAGGTAAGATCTTGCATTCGTTTGCAAGTATAATTATTCTGTACTATTTACAAGACATTTTAATATTTGTAGAAATGGGCGTACCCCTTTCCCCTCTCTTAACACTACCTTTCCGACCTGAGAAAACTGAGGAAAAAAGTATCTCTTGAATAGCGTAAAAAAATGAACGAAAATAATATGTGTGCTACTATTTTATCAGCAAAACTTTTCTATAACTCACCAAGTTGAAGGTTATGTGAAGGTAGAGAGGAGAACACGTAAAAAAATATATCTTACCTGGTTTTAGAGGGGCGGAAACGGAAAAATTGAGAAACGTTTTCGGGGAAGCCGTAAGGTTTATAATTTTGTTTAGAATGTCACACTGCTAGATATTTGAAGAAAGCACTGCCGGATACCGTATTACAAATCCTTACATTCCTGATTATACCAAAAGCAACCTCCTTTCTTTTCATATCTTCGAAATCTCAAATCCTTCCTTTACATCCTTGAGATCCTGAGAGTTACTTTCTAGATGAATAATTTCTAGCACGTTTTGAAAACAGCGGATGAAATCCAAACAAGAATCTACCCAGCTTCAAATTGAGAATCACGAGGATACAATAAAACGGTTGAGAAACAGCCAACCCACTGTAAGTGATAATGCTGAAGATGGCTCGCGCTGTGTCACGAACGAAGATGAAGTCATCGATAACGAGACTTACTTACAGGATATGGCAGTTGACAGAAACTGGGAAATTTCTCGAGACAGGCTGACAATATCAAATGAGAAACTTGGTGGAGGAGAGTTTGGAATTGTAAATAAAGGAGTATATCTAAGGACTGATGGGAATGAACTCCCAGTTGCGGTAAAAAGCCTTAAAGGTTTGTACCGTCTTAAGTTAATACAATATTGTTTATGAAAAAAAAAAAAAAGAAATAGTCTACTTTATGGCCTTAGCTGTATAGCCGCCTTAAAAAAAGGAAGATATCCAAACAGTGGGCTGCGTCTGTGGTTCACTGAGAAATGGAACGTATTCAAATTCTGATTTATAGCAAGCTAGAATTTCAAGCGATTTTTCCCCACACCAAAGTTCAAGTCCTCCCTGTTTCTAAGTGTGCGTCCTTGTTTTGATGTTAACAGATAACATTGACCAACTGCAGCGAATGGCGCTAATAAGAGAGCTAGAGACACTCATTCAGGTCGGCCGCCATCCAAACATCGTGAGCTTGGTGGGAGCATGTACCTTTGAAGGTGGAGTGGTTCAACAAACTGCGTATTCATTTTAACATGTTGTTTACAACCGTAAATAAACATTAATAGACTCCGTTTACAATCTAGAAACATCGCATTTTCGACAAAAACGGCGTTAGCAAATATATTTGCTAACTACACCACACTGTTTCCAGATCGATTTGGGATTTCCGTGTCTAGCTAGCCGCTCTAAGAAGTGTCCACGTCTTAGGGCTTGAAGTCCGGAATTCATTCTCTAAAGGCAGTCGCTTTGGACCATGAGCCATAATGAAATAATCTTCTCATTCTACAATCAAAGTTAGTATTCAACTTATGCAGCTTTTATTTTTATAGAACCCTTGTACGTCATCATTGAGTTCGTTCCTGGTGGAAGTCTTGATAACTTGCTCCGGAGTAGTCGCGTTAAGAAAAAGAATGACGATCCACCTTACACCAACGTATGGTCAAAAATGACGGAGAGGGAGCTGTTAAGGATTGCTTCGGACATTGCCAGTGGCATGAGACATTTGGAGAGTAAACAGGTATTATACTTAATAACATATAGAAAAAGCCAAGCCTATAAGCGGAGCTCTCACAAATACTATGGCAAAAATAAAATCACACATAATGGATGATGGAGTCATGATGCGCCTTGCAATGCTGACATCCGATTCTCATACCAACTGTTTAGCCCACACTTTAAACATTATCAACGAGTGTAAATAAACTAGGACATTCTTATCGTTTGGAA